TTTTTTTTTTTTTTTTTCATTAAAAATCGCTGCCAGTTAGAACTTTTTTTTTCCTTACACATCGCTTGCAGGGGCAGCGTTTTTCATACCTAATGCTATTATATTCATGCCTATTGTTAATTATTAATAATATAAAAATGATAAACAAGGCGGACAGTATACTCAATAAAATTGTTGAAGCATGAGGAAAATTGAATTATATATCATAAATAATAATAAAAGAATATTAATTTTTTTAAAAAAACTTTTTTTTAAAAAAATTCTTAACCAAAATTGCTGCTATTTTGAAGAAAAAAAGATTTTTTTTTGAGAAAATCTATAGCAGCGATTTTGAAGAAAAAAAGATTTTTTTTTTGAGAAAATCTATAGCAGCGATTTTGAAGAAAAAAAGATTTTTTTTTTGAGAAAATCGCTGCTAAAGATTTTTAATAAATTTTATTTTTTTTTACAAAATTGTTCCTCCTAGCAGTAATTTTTAATAATAAAAAAAAAAGAAAAAAAACTTTTAGACAAAATCGCTGCTAGGGCAGCGATTTTTCGTCATTGTGTCAGAGAAAAATTGCTTCGTCAGAAGCGATTTTGCCTTTTTGGTTTTAAAAAAATTTGATGTGCCCTTTTGGAATTTTGACAATTTTTTTTGCCCTTTTGGCTCTGAACTCCTGTTATTTGCAGTTTTGATGATTTGACAAACATAGGGACCTTGTAAGGGGACCTGATCCTTTGCACCACTATTCGTACAATTGACAACTGAAAAAAGTACACAAGTTTAATTTGGTGAGGTTGGTGCACGGTCTCCAAGCTTGGCAGAAACCTCGGCCAATAGCATGGCCTTGAAGGTTGTGTCTATTCTCAATAAGGTCAACCTTCAATAGACACAACCTTAGTTTTTGCATCCTGAAAATTCTCAAGAACAAAACCAGAAGTATTTTCCTCAAGAGAAATAGGGACTTGATAGAGCTGTTGGTGTCTTAGTTGTCTTAGGTTTTTACTTCCGTGCTTATGTTGTAAATCTATTCCTGAGCTATTAAGAAATTAGATAATTTGTTTGTTTCAATCAAAAGTCTAAGTCAACTAAAGTTAGCTGGTTTAGTGGTAGCATTGTTGCTGCTTAGTCAAAATTCTAAGTCATCTAGAAGTAGGTGGTTTAGTGGGCAACCGTGGGTTGCTTAGTAAAGTCTAAGTTATCTAGGTTTGGGTAGCTTAGTGGGCAATAGAGTTATTGCTTAGTTGCTCTCTTTGTACGTAGTAGGGTTGCTACATTGAGGGGGAAGGGATTTAGAGGTAATTCCTAGGTTGCAAGCAGTTGTAATCTGAATTGTTGCTCTATTTGAAAGAAATAGAGTTTGGGATGAAAAGTCTGTGAGGACATGTTGTGATTTTCACCGCCCTTAAGCAAGGGGGTTTCCACGTAAAGTGCTTGTGTTGCTTTACTTACTGCTTGTGCTTGCATTATTGTTCTTACTGTGTCAAGGGACCTGGTCCATTGACTGTTAGTGGACGCATATATCTTATCACGAACAACCCCTAAAGGCTTAAATATGAAGATATTCGATACAAGAAAGTTAAAAGCTGAAAATATTAAGTATTACCATTGGATAGAGTCAGTCGGGGTACTCGGGTAAAGGGTGATGATGTGGCTTACCACGTTGGACTTGTCCCGGGCCACCGGGTGGCCAAATTAACCCGTGCGGGATCAGTCCGGACCGAAAACTGGTCCGGATCAAATTCAATTTCTGATGGTATATAGTTTTTTAAAAATAACAGACCAACCGTCCAACACTTGGACTATCAAATGTTCCTCCCTTAACGTGTGATAGTAATAATGAATTACTAAAAAGTCGTAATTGTGGTGATTATTACTTAAAAGTAAATGAAATTAGAAGGATAATTTAACTCATGACTTGATTTTGTTTATTGGAATAAAAACTCAATAATTTAGATTTTAGAATCAGTCAATAGTCAATACCATAACACTTTTTTCTTGTTTCTGTTCATTTCACTAGGCGTATATATATTTTCTATTTTTAGTAGTTTCCTTTCTAACACTTGTCTTAAAGACACATCACTAGCTCTCTACTAATCCACAAATTTGATAAATGATCCACCTTAATTGTCGTTTCCTTATTTCAAGCTACGAAGCCAAATGGTCAGAAAAATCAGTATTTAAAGCACCCTTTGTTAATATAAGCAAATCGTGAATAATAATAAATCATAATGTTATAGGGAACATCTTGAGTTTGGTCTACGAAGATCAGTCATCAGCCCTACGAACATTACCAAGGCCAAACTCTAATAACTTCCCCCAAAAAAAAAAAAGAAAAAAGGGAGAAAATTAAAATAAAAAATGGAAATGTCGAAAACAAGAACCAATGTGGCTCTTGTTGTGTTGTTGGTAACTTGTTTGACTGTAGGGGCAACAGTTGCAGCAGACAACAGCACAAGAAGGCACTTGGCCAAAAAATACAAAGGACCATGTATGGCCACTAATCTTATTGACAAATGCTGGAGATGCGACCCTCATTGGGCTGATCATCGCGAAAAATATGCTGATTGTGCAATGGGCTTCGGCAGCAAGGCCATTGGTGGTAAAGGTGGACGTGTTTACGTTGTCACAGATAATTCTGACAAGGACGTTGAGAATCCTACACCTGGTATATATATGCATGTATTAAATAGTTTGTATAACATATATGAGTGACATGGACTCACATTATTTTGATTTTGATTGTAATAGGTACCCTTAGGCACGCGGTGATCCAAAAGGAACCCTTGTGGATCATATTCGAAAGACATATGCATATTAAGCTAAAGAGGGAACTACTGATGCAAAGCCACAAAACAATCGATGGGCGTGGATTCAACATTCATATCGAAAAAGGAGCTGGACTTAAGATGCAAAGTGTGAACAACATTATAATCACTAATCTTCACGTTCACAACATTGGAATAACTCCTGGGGGTATGATCAGGGATTCAGTAGACCATGTTGGCATAAGAAGTGAGGATGAAGGTGATGGCATCAGTCTCTTCGCGGCAACCGATGTCTGGATTGACCACGTATCCATGTCACGCGCCACGGATGGGCTCATTGATGCCGTCCAAGGATCAACCGGTATCACCATCTCCAACTGTCATTTCACCGATCACGATAAAGCAATGTTGTTTGGTGCTAATGATAATCACGTCGAAGACAAGAAAATGCAAATTACCTTGGCCTATAACCATTTCGGTAAAAGATTAGATCAAAGGATGCCTAGGGTCAGATTCGGATTCTTCCATATTGTCAACAATGATTACACCCATTGGATGAGGTAACGTTTTAGTGTATTTTACCATACAAATTCAAAAAGTCTAGCTAGTCATATCAACTAAAACTATTTCTTTTTTCTTTTTAAAAAAAAATAGGTACGCTATTGGTGGAAACAGTGGAGCAACAATTATTAGTCAAGGTAATCGTTTTATCGCACAAGCGAGTCTTTTGATTAAAGAAGTGACACATAGGGAAAAAGCAGAAGAATCAGAATGGAAGAATTGGACTTGGCTATCCATAGATGACGATATGCAAAATGGTGCTTTTTTTAGAACATCTGGTGATCAAGATGCACTAAGAAAATTAAAGAATTTAAATTTGATACCAGCAGAGCCATCATACAAAGTTGGAATTCTTACAAAGTTTGCAGGATCACTTTCTTGCACCGCAGGACGTCCGTGCTAGATCTTCGTATATAAAAAATATATGTTTCATTTTATTTATTTTTTTATTTGTTTTTGTTTCGAAATAAACTCTAGCTTACCCTAATTTTACCAACAAAAAAAAAATTAAAAAAAAAAAGATATGTCCCATACAGAGATCAACTCTGTTTTCTTTTTGTCATTTATTTTGAGGAAGAGTTTGAGGTGGTCAAGAGGATTATCTGCAACGTATTTTAATTTGTTAGGTAGAATTAAGTTTATAATAAAGTTACGTTTTTGTTTCTTCTTATTAATATCTATACTATTTTAATTTCTCTTCATGGATCATATATCGCTAGCTTCAATCTCTTATTTATTTATTTAATAAATTTCCAACTATTACTGCGTGCAATCTAATATGTACTGTAGTATTAAGTTAAAAGTATCATAAGTAAGTTTAAATGAGTTTGAGTTATTTCAAGTTTATTAACTTGATCCAATAGATTGAACCCGAAAAATGATCCATTTGAATGGAAAATGTAATCAAACAGGTCAAGATGCAAGCCGAATTCAAATGTTCAAATCAAATTTGAAGATTGGGTATAATGAAATTTCAAAAACTTAAACTATTATATTTTTTTTTAACAAATTATATTAGCTTTCACATTTATTTTTTCAAAAAAAAAAAACAACATAAAAAATGAGGAGAGGTTGTCATGTTAGAGGGGAATATTTATATCTATATATTCAATTAATTTTGATTCAAAGAAATTTTGGACCAATTAAATCATGACATGTCTATTGATTTGACCTGCTTGGTCACTCAAATTTAATCTAATCGCCATAAATATTTGCCTTCTCTAACTTTTTTTTAATCACGTGGAGCATGTATAAATCGAATAATAAAATCTTATGCATCAATGCAAACTCACTACTTGTTCTAGTTTTTTTTTTGTAACATGATTTTTCCTAACTTTGTTTGTGGGACTTTGTTCTCTTTTTTCTCGAAAATGACTTTTTACAAGGTGTTCCTTCATATAATCAGTGTGACTTCATTTTGGATTATCCTCTTTTCCCTTTCTTATTTATTGTGCGAAAAAATAGCTTATAAAAACATGACTCATCAAACCTACTGATATTTGGGCAAGTTAGTAATTCACCCTTGCTTTTGATATATTTGGTCTTTCTGTCAAAGTAATTATAGCGGCTAGTTAAATATTAAAAAAATGTGCACTAATTCTGTATAAAATTTGTATATATACATTAATATACCAAAAGAGGGGCGATTATTTTGATGGATGGGTATACCGAATAAAAAAATTATTTATTAATTCATCACATCTTGACATGTTTAAATTCAGTTTGTTTAAAAGTTGTGTTGATTGGGTTAAATATATTAACCCAAACTTAAACCATGAGAAGCCTTGTAAAAATAGTTAAAACAAACTTTGTTCGATGTGTTACTTCTTCTACCGCTCATACCTTGCCAATGAAATCTCCACGGGAGAATAGCTTTGGTAAAACAGATTTTTTGATTGGGTTAAATATATTAACCTAAACTTAAACCATGAGAAGCCTTGTAAAAATAGTTAAAACAAACTTTGTTCGATGTGTTACTTCTTCTACCGCTCATACCTTGCCAATGAAATCTCCACGGGAGAATAGCTTTGGTAAAACAGATTTTGCGATAGATCTAACTTTGACAAGAACTCTTTTTTTGGGGGTATGAAAATGAGTTTTGCATTTTTTGTTATATATGTGATGAAATGAATGGTAGTTATGGTGGTGGTTTGAAGATGGAAATGAATGTATATTTGGTGTATATTCATTATATGTCCTATGTATCATTTTATGTGTATAATTAACTGTACATACAATGACATGCACACGACACACAAGTACATAAAATGACATATAACTATTGTATATTAGTAGTATATATGTCTGTATATTATGCGTAAATCCATATATATCATCATGTGTAATGTGTTATGCCTGCCAACTATATAGTCTATATATACTAGAGGCCAAATATTATAAAAGTTGTAAGTACTATTTTCAATGAAACTTTGTTTTGATGTGAAATTAAAGAGGGAAAAATCAAATGACATATGAACAACGTAACCCCACTAATTATTGGAGAGTACATCCATTAAATTGCAAATGATAATACTTTTACATCAATGAGTGCATCACGCATGCTAAAGTATATGTAATTCTCAAAAAAATTTAATATGGTTGAGGTTCAACCAACAATAGTTGTGTGAGACTAAGGGTGGCAACGGAACCGGTAATGGGACTATCGGATCGGGACGTTCCGGAACCGGAACGGAACCGGGCACCACGGGCCGGAACCGAACCGGAACCGGGACGGACCGGAACCGGTAATTCCGGAAAAAATTCCGTGTTCCCGTCCCGGACCGGTAACGGACCGGACCGGACCGGACCGGAAACCGGGTCCAACCGTTAAAATTATAATTTTTTTATTAAAATTAAAAAATTAGGAACATTACACTTAAAAATTTATACTTTTAAAGTTTTAAATACAAACTTTCAAACTTTTAAAAGTATAAAAGTTAAAATTTCACAATTTAAAAGTTTGAAAATTTAAATTCAAACTTTAAAACTATAAAAGTTTAAATTTCACCCTTTAAAAGTTTGAAAATTTAAATTCAAACTTTAAAACTATAAAAGTTTAAATTTCACACTTTAAAAGTTTGAAAATTTAAATTCAAACTTTAAAACTATAAAAGTTTAAATTTCACACTTTAAATTTTAAAAGTTTGAAAATTTAAATTCAAACTTTAAAACTATAAAAGTTTAAATTTCACCCTTTAAAAGTTTGAAAATTTAAATTTAAATTATAAACTTTAAAACTATAAAACTATAAAAATTTAAATTTCACACTTAAAAGTTTGAAAATTTAAATTTAAATTATAAACTTTAAAACTATAAAACTATAAAAATTTAAATTTCACACTTAAAAGTTTGAAAATTTAAATTTAAATTATAAACTTTAAAACTATAAAACTATAAAAATTTAAATTTCACACTTAAAAGTTTGAAAATTTAAATTTAAATTATAAACTTTAAAACTATAAAACTATAAAAATTTAAATTTCACACTTAAAAGTTTGAAAATTTAAATTTAAATTATAAACTTTAAAACTATAAAACTATAAAAATTTAAATTTCACACTTAAAAGTTTGAAAATTTAAATTTAAATTATAAACTTTAAAACTATAAAACTATAAAATTTAAATTTCACACTTTAAATTTTAAAAGTTTGAAAATTTAAATTCAAAGTTCAAAACTTCAAACTTTAAAACTATAAAAAGTTTAAATTTCACACTTAAAAGTTTGAAAATTTAAATTTAAATTATAAACTTTAAAACTATAAAACTATAAAATTTAAATTTCACACTTTAAATTTTAAAAGTTTGAAAATTTAAATTCAAACTTTAAAACTATAAAAGTTTAAATTTCACACTTTAAAAGTTAAATTTGAACTTTTGAAGACAATAATAAAAAATAATTAAGGCGAATAGCCTATACTTTTATTAATATTAATTAAATAGTACAAGTTGAATTACAAAATATTAGTACAGTATTAAGAAATCTAATCTACACAGCCACCTTCTAGGAAGGGTTCTGTTTGAATTAGACCTCGAATTATTATACTCATACTAATAGACATTTAAATTTAATAGTTCATGCTACCAAGGAAATCTTTTTTTAAATCATTTAACATTTCTCTACTAACATGCTCTGGAATTGGTTGATTAGCTAGTTCTTCCATTGCATCAATGCCGTCATCACTAAAATCTTGCATTATTTCATCAACGTCATTTTCAAATTTGGTCGGTAGAGGTGGACGACCATAACTCCTTCTCTCGCCATTAATCCAATCTCTAAATAGTACGGAAATCTCCAAGCTATCTGCTGCTAATGAATATCTATGCTCTCCAATTTGAAATCTTGCTGCACTAAAAGCACCTTCC